GAGTCAGAATTTGTTCCCAGAATCAGTTAAGGTGAGCTGAAGAAGTTATCTTTGCGACTGTGGAGTCAAGGAAAACATCATGATGACAGTCTCAGGCCCTGAAATATTTGATGTGTTTTGAAGAGATTGATAAAAACATGGGTACACAATGTCTTGAGCAGCTGCCTCTGGAGACTTACAAATCATTACGGAATATCGTTTAGATGATGAACTGCATGTACCAAGACAGAATTGTTTTATAAAAAGTGAAAATGTGAATAATACATGATGTACATTCTATGTAACATATACAGTTTACATAGCATAACCATAACTTTCTTCCGAAATTCAGTTTCTTTCTGTCTGCTTAAAGTAACAGCAGAACCAAAAAAGTAACATAGCAAGAGTCTAAACTAATCCTTACCATCAATTTCAGTATAAATTATTGACATGCTAATCATATCATAGAATCATAGAATGGTTAGGGTTGGAAAGGACCTTAAGATCATCAAGTTCCAACCCCCCTGCCATGGGCAGGGACACCTTGCTCTAAACCATATCACCCAAGGCCTCGTCCAACCTGGACTTGAATGCTGCCAGGGACGGAGCATTCACAACTTCCTTGGGCAACTTATTCCAGTGCCTCACCACCCTCACAGGAAAGAATTTCCTCCTTATATCCAATCTAAACTTCCCCTGTTTAAGTTTTAACCCGTTACCCCTTGTCCTATCACTACAGTCCCTAATGAAGAGTCCCTCCCCAGCACCTCTATATGCCCCCTTCAGATACTGGAAGGCTGCTATGAGGTCTCCACGCAGCCTTCTCTTCTCCAGGCTGAACAGTCTACAGATCAGTAGTGATCTGTAGATGCCAGTTGCTCTTCAGGTATTAATTTGACTAAAACTTTGGCAGTTAATATTCAAACTGATTCATATTAGTTTAAATCTTTAATTGCATTTAATTATAGTTTTGCTTATGAAACAAACAGCTGCACTTTTTTCATTACCTCTGTTAGTCTGCCATTTGAAAGGATTAAGTTTCTGTGCATCTCTACAAATTATTTCTCAATTTAGCTTCTCTTGGCTGTATTTTGCACCTTATCTTGCACATGCACTAATTTTTCCAGAACTTGTTATTGATCTAGTGCAGCTTTTAATCTAACCACATTAATGACATTACTCTTTACATTACTGTTTGCAGTAATGCATTTAGCTTGCCTGTCTTGGCTCAAGATAGTAGATATTAATTGTAACATCCCAAACAAAACAGCATGTATAATTTGCATGTATCATTCTTAAAAATGTTGTAACAAATTAATTAAATAAAGTTGAGTACAATTGAAACTTCTCTAACCAGTTGCTGATAGATATTACCTGTATAATATTATGCAAGAGTATTTGTTGAGAATATTCAACATCAGACTTTGAGAGCTGATGAAATTTACTATAAATATAGGTCCCACATATAGGGAGCTAAAAAGGAAGCTTGAGTAAGATAACAAGATTTTCATAGCAACTTATATTTACTTCCTCTTCATTTTCTGGAAAAGTTATTAAGGACTAAGCTGACAGGCAGCAGAATTAATTAAACTTTTGTTGTTGTTCGGCCACGAACACAGGTAGGTTGTTCCCCTACCAAATTAGAGAACACGGCCGTTTGCAATTATTATGGAGTGTGGTTGGGTGGATATGCTTCAAACCCCTCTATCATTTCACCAGAGGACTGATGATGCTGGTGTATAATTCAGAGAAGGGAAGCTGCTTTAGCTGTGCTAACAACTGAATCTTGAAGTACAGCAAAGGTTTTCTTTAACAGCCAGAGCAACCAAAAGTTTTGCACATGTAATCACAAAATTGTTGATTGTCTGTTAAATTCTGGGTTGGCTAAGCTTGTGTTGTCTTTGAGACCGGAATGAGAAAAACTCTGCATCTTTGTCTTAGCAGATAGTATGATTTGCAGTCATAATTATATCACAGTAGATAAACCAAATAGTGAGTTTGTGGGTGAATTACGCAGCAGATCAGTCACCATTAGACTTCCGAGTGTATGACTGGAATAGAAATTTGGCTGCTCACCATCAGAAGACAAGACTTAACGAATCTGATTAATCTTGTAGCAGACAGTCAAAGTTTTCTTTCCCAGGGGACTAGAAGCCCCAAGACATGTTCTAGCCAGTTGATATGACAAATTATTAAATACTTTTTTCAACAACCAGGAATGTCAAATACGCTATTTTGTAACATCACAAAGGAGATACAAGGAGCAGCTTGTTTCTTTCTTCTTTGGGTTTTTCCATTAATGTAGCCTTCTCTGTTTATGTTTTCAACCCCTCCTCCAAGATACACAGTGCTAATTCCAGCAAAATGACACGAAAGCCACCTCTTTGCATACTACTGGAAGTGCAGAATTCAGGCCTGCTGAAAACTTCACTTCTTACTGTTAAATGAAGTAGAAAAAATAGGAAAAAGACTTGTACTGAGACAGTATAATGTATCTATCACACATACGAAGTTAATGTACAAGGCAGGAGTATCCTGCCACTCTGTATTAAAAATGTGAAGGTAAAGCCAGTTTCCATTGAAAACATAGCATTTCTGTTGGGGAGAGGTGCTGGGGGAAGAGGGAGGGAAGGTTCCATGCAATTGTGAAGATGGTTTTATAGTCAGGAACAGAGTGAACGAGGAGGGTATGACTTGGAGTCATGAAGGGGACACAAAGCAATGAGGAAGCCATGGGATGGTAGTCACTTGGCTTGAGAGAGTGGCAGGTCTGATAAAAGTGGAAGATTGAAGAAGCTAGGGTTTGCCGGACAGAGTGAAAAGATGTATACAACGATAACAGAAGTGGAAGAAAAGAAGAAAGGGGGCAAGAGGGAGATTTATATTGGTCATGGGGGTTGAAACAGAACATCCTAGGCAAAGAAACCAGGAGAATAATGTAGTGCTGTGGGATGCCTGTTGTGATTAACTTACTAGAGTCATGAGATTTTCTTAAATATCCTTGATTTTTTTTTTCCTCACATTGAGAGTACTGTAATTTGTCATTACATTCTGTACTGTATCAGTGTGTGTCTTGCCTTTAGGCCCAACGAACTATTATAGATGAGACAGTTACTGACCAGTCGTAAATATTTTTAACCCTCTGCTTAGGGAGGGTTGATCTTCTCTAATAACATTGTGAAGACTGTAGTAGGAAACAAATGTTCCAGTTTTTTTGATCCTGTTACTACTAGAATATTACAGATAGTGAGCACATCAGGATTACAGAAAATCCAGTTGCTGCACAGTCAGCAAGATAGAAAAAAACTATTTGTGGTTTGTTTGGGTTTTTTTTTTAATCGTTTATATGGGCTTTTTTTTTCATTAGGAGGTCTTTTATATCATGTAAGATTATTGAACTATGTAATCTGTTAATAAAAACTTTGACATTTCTGAAAAACTGAGAGTGAAGTGACATTGAAACTACGAACCTAGAAGGCAATAATAAACAGGAAAGCAGCAATATACAAAAAAATTTGATAAATTTTTTTTGGTTGTTGCTTAATAGCTGCAAGTGAATGACCACTGTGTTGCATCAGCAGTCATTGCATGTTGAAAAACTGGACTGCATAAGGTGTGGTGTAGTTAATATGATAGTTAACAAGGGTCTAAGAGTTCTGGACAATCAGCAGAATATCATATAGAACAATTCTTTTAAAGTATTTTTCATTCTTGGTGGTACGTCTTACTTCTCATTGCAACTAATGTGAAAACTGACCAGCAAACTCAGATCCAGTGATTATGAAATAATTATCAAGCTACTAGCTATTTTTGCTTAACATGTCTAGAACTGAAAAAATAAAAAACCACCATATTTTGTTCTTTAATTCTTTCTTTCTCTCAGTATTGATCATTTTTGTCAGACTTCGTCAAATTTGTTAGAACTAATAATTCTTCGAGTATATTCAGGTAATAATATACTGCCTAGCAAAAAAGTTGGTTGATGCTTATAACTACTTTCCTGGGCTTTCTAAACTTTGGGTACTGCTTATCTAATAATCTTAAGACAATCTATTTTATTTTTTTTTAGTTAACAGCACTGAAATTGCTGTAAGCATGAATTTTCTGGCGTGGAATTTCATTGTGTTGTTTAATTCTGAAAATGAAAAAAGATACAAGTTGTTTAATACCACTGAATCTCTAATTTCTTAGTAGGAAATTGTAATAGATTGCTACGTTTTGTTGAAATGTGTTCATTGTGAAGAATATTTTGGTTTACATTAGTTGAATTGTTCTAAGTTAGCAGTGTTTTCTAAAATTATTAATTCCATCAACCAGAGACAATAACTTTGCCTGTTACAAACAGTGTTACTTTACAGACGATGTAAGACATTTTGTAGATTTTATTTCTCCATTTGCATCTAAAAGAATGCTGAAATTCTACAAATTTAACATGCCATAGTTTGAGATTCTGCTAGCACTTTTTAGAACAATTACTTTTGTGGGAGGAAGATGAGGTGAAAAGATATTACTATATGTCTGTGTTTCCTTGTACAATGTGCTGGCCACATCTGGAAACTTCATTCTTTGAAGTATGTAATGTTTTTATAACTATGCAATCCAAAAAAAACATTGTGTAGAAAAAGTATAATGAAGGAATACAGAGACAAGCAGGTAGTTAAACATGAAGTACTGTGAGACAATTAAGATTAGTGGGATTACTTGCTTGTCACAATGTTGCCCTAATGAGGGTTAATTATGATACAAGAATTGAAATCGGAGCTGTGATGATTGAAAACCTGTAGGACAGGTATGTGGAAATGCTGGCGATTTCGGTTCCTTCATTTTGCTGTTAGACTTTTGGTAATTACTTGAACACACTTGACAAGGCATCATTAATTATGACAAAAAGGAAAATCTATCACCATCACATTAAAAAATGCATTTTGTAATGCTGAAAGCTACACTGGTTTTTAAGAAATGGAAAACCTTCTGTCTGTACTACTGCTCGCTTTTTAACCTATGCTTAATTCTCCTTTCAGATATTGGAGGCTGAAAGAATCCAGAGTTTTTGAAACAAGAAGGGTGAAACAAGGCCTTCTGCCCAAGCTCCTGACTGTGTGACATGATGTAAGTCATCTAAACATTTTATCTCTGTTTTTTCTGTTGTAGATAAAGAAAGTTCACTGTTTTCTGTATTTTTAGGAATGCTTGGTTTTGATTGAATTCCTACCATGAGGAAAATTGTATTTTTAAATGTCCGTTAATTTAGTACAGGAAAGCTCTTTTCAAATAAATTACAAAAGAAAAACTTCCTTCTTTTCCAGCTAAAATTGTGAATTAGATTGTAATACTTCCACAAAAGTATCGGCATCTTTCAACTGGTCTGTGTTACAGTCTGATTAATGTACGTTCATAATAACTTCTGGAAATAAAAATAGAGTTTTCAGAAGAATTTCTTGGTGAGCTGGGATGGTAGCACGGACTGCAGCAGAAAGGACATAAATACATTGTTCAAAGACAAGAAGAGGCAATGGATTTGGAATCCTGAGTAAAAAGGGGTGTTCATGGTTCTAATGATGACTTCAGTTAGCTGGCAAGATACATACTACTGCTATATGTGCTAGGAAAGACACTCAAAGTCCTGCTTGTAATAAACTAGTAATTGTTATCAACATATTATTTTATTTGCAACTTCATTTTTAGCATTAGTTTCCATACATTTACATTATTATAAATGTGTTTAAATGTAATCTATATTTCCATTCTTACATGAATATGATTGTATGAACTTAGGGATTTGGAGTTCTTCTAGGGATATAAACATGAACTGCCAGGCAAGAATCTTGTTGTTGTTGTTAAACATGAATTAACCCTGACTATTTGAAGTTTTTTCAGTTAATTATCTTTTCCTCTTTCTTATTCCTTTTTCTGTTGCAGAAAGCCTTATATTCACTTAACTTTGCTTTTGCTTTTATCTTGCCCAATATGTGCTAGCCTAAAACAAGAGTAAGGCTGTAATCTTGTTGTTCATTCACTAGTCATTCTTTTTAAAGAATTTGAAATCAGATTGGTCACATTAGTAATTATTCTTTTTTAAGCATTTATAGTTACTATTTTCTGTGTTTATCAGCTGGTGCTTTTTAAGGTCATTATGAAAATTAAGTTCCTTTCCTAACTATAGATTTAGGGGTATTTTTTTTAACCTGCTGTGAATGTAAAATACACGATGCAAATAAAGCCATGTTTGCAGTTGTTGTCTGTTTTAGAATTTCTGATAATTAACTCTGGGGCTTCCCTATAGGTACATCTTTGTCTAATAACCTTAGCTGTCTTTCTATATGTAATTGTATTTCTCATAAAAATGACACTCCTAGGGAGACTTCTGTTTCATATCATTAAGGTTTGAAATGGCTAATTGCCATTTTTGTTGTGTATTTGCATTATTTTTTAAATGTGTAAAGTATTTTATAACACTAATTTCACAGCGTATTGATAGTGTGAGGTGCTCATAGTCTTTACAGGGTGAACTTTTCAGTCTTTTCAGTAATATTTTAAATGTCATTTTCTGAAAGCCACTTAGTCTCTCTTCACTATCTTGCATCTGCAGCATGCAAATTTTGTGTGATTCAGTTATCTGTGTAAGTAATAACTTTCCCAGAATTGAAATGAGCAGATAATGAATTATTAATAGTTTGGTATAGGCAGTATTTTATTCAAAATAAGTTTTTATAAGTTTTCAGATTTGGGGATTTAGACTTTTTCTAATTTATGAAACGTGAGGAGACTACAGCACAGGTAGTATTCACCAAATGCACTTGGTTTATTGTGCTTATTTTACTAGGCCTACTGTATCTAGCTTATCACTGTACTATCTTGCTATCTTAGAAAATTGGTATTGTCTCTCTTAATGCATTCTTTCAAAGGTCCCAATTATCTATATTGGTTATTTAATATGTAGCCTGTAAGTCTGCAGGAAAATAAGTCAGATCATATTTTTTCTTCTGAAAGCAATAGAATTCATAGTTTTAAATTCATAGGTCTAATTTGACAAATATGGCCCAGACAGATGGGGAACACTTGCTACAGTTTGTTGGGTGGTTAAAAAAAAACCAATAACAAAGTCCTCCCAGAAACTCTGAAACACACTATAATTTTCTTTACATTTTCAGTTCTACTGTTCCTGAAAATAGAAAGTGATTGTCAGAGGCTGTGTTCATAGCTGTGCTAAACCTTATCTTTTTTGTCATGTAAGCTGCTATACTTCAGATATTTGAGAGGAAAAATCGAAAACCTAAATTTAACCGTATTCAACAGAAGATCAATTATATGAGTCGAGTGATGTATTCTTGGTGACCTGTGTTGCTAAGAAACAAACTCTTGTGTCAATTGATTAAATCTTCTTGCAAGTGTTTTTACCACAAGATCCATTGCAATGCCTTATTTGGGCTTTAACATCTGAAATCCGTTAACCATGAGGTCAAGCTTTTATCTGCTTCTTGACTTACTTTATTCTTGCTCCATCTAAACTAAAATCACCAAGTCACCTTTCCGTGAACATCTACTATAAAGTTCCAGTTCAGCAGGGGACAAAACAAAGCTCCCTGTTTCTCCAGACGTACCTCACTCTTGTTTCTTGCTTTGTTCCTGGAAATGCATTTGCCACATGGTAATGGAGCCAGGATGCCATCTTCAGCCCATTCTTATTCTGCAGTCATTAGCATTGAATTGCAAGTTAGGTTAGAACACTGACTTTTTCTGGGCGCATAGTGAGTTTCTGTTAAGTAAGTCAGTGCACACACACACACAAAAAGATTTTTAACACCTTGCTGTTTTTGTATTAGATTAGTTGATATGTAGTCAGATAAAAAATCTGCCAGTGTCAGAATAGTCTGAAAAAGTTTAAACCAATAAAATAATTTCTGTATAGAATCTCTCTTGTGCACTATAGCACTGCATAACTTTGTAGTGTAAGGAATATGGCTAGATTGACTATGATTTTATTTTGCGTACTTACTGAACAGTATTTTTAAAACATCACCTTCCTTATTCAGCTACAGACTAATACAATTGTTTTCTTTTTTTGACATTTTTCTTAATTATTGTAAAATCATTTTTGTGATGTTTGAAATACATAGCCTTATTCCCTGTGTATTTATGTAAAATATTGGTGCTGTGTGTAGCTTGTCACCATCCCATTTCTGTATCCACCTTAAAACTTCTTTTCAAATGTTTCAGTCTGGGCCCCCAATACTCCCTCCCTCCCTTTCTATGCCAGCCATTATTGCCCACTTGATAAATTTTGAAATTATCTTTTTTTTTTTTTGCTTTTTCTTGTGTTGTCTTTCCCACTAGATAGGAATTCATGCAGTAATCCCCTTACAAACCATGGTTTCTTGCCATGGCTTTGCTCTGCTAGCTGCACAAAGTTCGTAATGATTTCATTAAGGTTTTGCTGAGATTACAGCCTGTAATACTGATCATTCAACATAAAAATTACATGGAGCTGTTGGAACAAGTCCAGAGGAGGCCACGAGGATGATCAGGGACTGGAGTACCTCCCATATGAAGACAGGCTGAGAAAGTTGGGGCTGTTCAGCCTGGAGAAGAAAAGGTTGCATTGAGATATCGTAGCAGCATTCTAGTGTCTGAAGGGGGACTACAAGAATGCTGGGGAGGGACTCTTCATTAGGCACTGTCGGACAAGGGGTAATGGGTTAAAAGTTTAACAGGGGAAGTTCAGGTTGGATAAAAGGAAGAAGTTCTTTACTGTGAGGGTGGTGAGGTACTGGAATAGGTTGCCCAAAGTTGTGAATGCTCCAAGCTGTGAATCCCTGCCAGTGTTGAAGACTAGGCTGGATGGAGTCTTGGATGACATGGTTTAGCATAAGGTGTCTTTGCCCATGGTAGGGGGGATGCAACTAGATGATCCTAAGGTCCTTTCCAACCCTAACTATTCTATGATTGGATGACATGGTTTAGCATAAGGTGTCCCTGCCCGTGGCAGGGGGGTGGAACTAGATGATCCTAAGGCCCTTTCCAAACCTAACTATTCTATGTCTGTATTCATTCTATTCCTCACCTGTCTATATCCACTTTTAGTTTTCCGTTGAACTTTTGCTCTTGATTGATGTGAGACTAGAATTTTGATCCAATGATTCGGAACAAATCAGATACCCAGAGAAGTTCCCAAACTTACTAAGTCAACTGAAACTGATAGAACATTATAAATTACAGCTTGTAATATCTTGTGCCTATCAGTTAGTGCTATATGACTGACTTACCAGGCATTAACCATTATCTACCTTTCCGTGTTCTTAATTTGCTATATTTCATTTATTATTTGCAGCTGTATACTTCCAGGTAGTACAAATAGCTACATAGGTCAGCTTGCACAATCTCAGCAACTTTTTGCTGACCCCTACTTCATACTCATTCTGAAATATTTCTAGGACAATATCAGAGACTCAGTAGATTTGTTGATTTACGGTAGTAATAATGCTCCTCCTTCTCAGAAAAAGAAAAAAATTAATATTCCTGTGAAATCTTTGTTCTCTAGGCTAATTCAGAATTCTCAGCTTGTTTTACTAGAGATGAGTCAAATGATCAGTCATAACTTACAGCACTAATTTGGAAATATGGCCTCTGAAACAATAGAGGATTTTTGGCTTCTGTTTGTGCAAATCATGTGGTTTTGGCTTCAAATTTTTGGTTTGTTTCTCAATTTTAAATTCCATCAGCCTCATTTTGTTCTGGAGTTTCTGACCACCACAGACCACTACTATTATTTCTAATGCTTGAAAGAGGCTACATTTCATTTTAGTTTAATATTCAGTAGATTTTGTTTGGTGCTGCTGTTCACAACAAAGTTGCTTTATTGACAGGCAAATGCAGGATAACAACCTCCCAAGCTCTAGGGTCAGAAGGTTTTATGCCACGTGAGGTCTCACTTCCTTGGTTATGTGAATGTTAGTAGGTTACAGAGTGCCAGGGAATTTTCCCCGACGCTGGATTCAGTTGTCCATGTTGTTTTACTTTTTTTTACAACTGAGTAGAGTTTTGCCGAGGACATTGCTAAAAATTCCAGAGTTAGGGAGTTTGTACAGGCTGTTGGTCATTCCCACTTGGCA